ACACATGCCCAGCACTAGGCAAATGCTCAGAAGAGAACTGAGAAGGCCCTACGCTCTATGTCTGGCTGACAATTTATACTTTTTAAATATAATTTAGAGAAAATTAAACAACATGGATTGTTTATAACATGAGAAAACATAGAAATGTATTTGCATATAGTATTCAGTACACATTTTGGCCACTTAACATCCCCTATCTGTATGGTACTCAGGCTCACAACTGTGCACTCTTACCTTCCATCATGGTGTGTACAACTGGAAGACAAAAATCAAAATTGTGTCCTAGAATGAGTTTCAAAGTCACTTGTTCTCTGTTCCTTTTATATGACATTCTGTTCTAGTTTAGTGGATGTAATATCTTAGCACTCTAAGAATGTTATATTCTCTTTGAAGCTTTCTTAAAGTTTTTGAACTATCTCTTGTTCTTTTGATTGGCTTCTCTTCTGCTTTTTTTGTCTCAGTCTTTCATTTTGGATGCCTTTTTCAAACGACTAGTAATCCTCAGTTTCTCATTTAATTTTAAACTGAACTTTTAAATACTGAGTTGAATCTCTGTGTGTGGACAGTCTATCAACTGCTGGGCTGCATGTTAGAACAAATGTGTGGCCTTCCAGAATTTTTTGTAGGTTTTTGTAGGTTAACATTACTGGGCTATTCAACTTCTCCACAGAAAGTTTCTTTAATCAACTATTTGTGGGGGAACTGGGTAAGCCTGATTGCTTGCTTTCTGATGTTGGACAGGAGAAGTGTGCTGGGAGTATCTCAATCCAGAAGCAGATTTTCAATTATTTTATCTGGTTTTGGTTTCATGCGTCGCTGCACTGTTCTGCATCTGGTGTGCCAGAGCTCAGAACTTCTCTGCTCCAGTTTACTAGAGATTATTCCTCCTGTCTCCTGAGTGATTTGAGGTCTTGACTGCGTTGAATGGAAGTAAGAATTTGGAAGACTAACTGTTCCATGCAGAGACTTTTAAATGATCTTGAAGTTTTAACTCTGTACCCACTGTCAAAGTTACATGGTTCCCCCAATCCCTGAGACTATTTGGAATTCTGAAGGGAGAATTAGCTTGCTTTTCACTGGTGTCTCCTTTTTTGAGTGCTTGGAATGAGACCTTCCTCCATTCTGCTAAGTCATTTACAAGTCTTTTATCTGCTTTTCCTCCCCATATATTGAGGTTAGGAGTTACTGACATAGCCTGATTTCATCAAATATGGAGAAAAAGAGAGAAAAAAGAATAAAATTAGTGTACCAGTCCAGAACATCCAATATATGAATAATAGGTATACTAGAAAGAGACAACAGAAAAAAGGAGACAAAGAAAATATTAAAGAAACAATACAAGATTATTCCCCAGAACTGAAGGACATGAGCCTCTAGATAGAAGGGCTCACTGAGTGCCCAGCCAAATGAATGAGAAAATATCACCAGTAAGGCTTATCATCATTAAATTTTGGAAAAATTAGAGATAAAGATAAGTTATAATAAGCTTCTAGAGGGGGAAAATCATAACACGACACATACAGAGGTCAAGCATACTCATTGGGAATCAGAATCACATTCAATTCCTCAATAGCAACATTGGTAGTTAAATATTGGAGATTTTTTTTTCCTACCTAGAAATACATACCCAGCCAAACAACAAGAAGTTCTAGAGAAGAATAAAGACATTTTCAGATATTAAAATTCTCAAGGAATTTACTTCAATGCATCTTTTCTTAGGAAACTTCTTGAGAGGAACATATGAAATATAGGAAACAGGTGGGTGGAACACAGAAGAGATGCAAAGAGAAGTCCCAGAATAACAATTGTGCATGAGGCCAGAGCAGTGCTACTCAAAATGTGAAAATAAAGGCAATACATCATTTGCAGAAAAGTTTTACAAATAGCTGACTGAAAGATCCTTTCTTATTGAAGGCCAGAAACAAAATGCAAAAGTTAAAAAGAAAAAAATCAGTTGATTATTTTAACGGAATTTCTAAAGAAATTGTATTGAGATAAACTTTAGAATATAGTTGAAAAAACACAACTATATGAACATACAACTAGGGCCACTCCCAGAACCTTGGATGGGGCTGGTGCAAATACAGGACCCTGGAGCTCAAGCTTCATTAGTGTCAAGGTAAATGTATCTTTGGCACAAGCACTGGCAGGTTAATGAGGGTACCATCAAAGAAGCTCCTTCAAGTAGCTTCTGGGATAGTTCCATCTCATTACTTTTATAGTCATACCATGTTTGTCTTAAAATGAGAAGTATGTTCATTGCACACATAATTTTATTGAACACTTAATCTTTTCCAGGCACTGCTTTAGGCATTTTACAAACATTACTGCAAACATTAACTAATTCTCACAATAACTCTGTGGGCAGGTACTATTATTATCTCTGTTTTACACACATGGGGAGTGAGGTTCAGAGGATAAAGCTATTTGCCCAAGGTCATGCAGATAAGTTGTAGAATCAAGATTTAAAGTTAGGTCTCTATGATTCCAGAACTCTAACTCATTTCACTACACCCCAAACCCCAAAATTCTTTCCATTTACCTGATTCTTCCACTCTTCTCATCTGTCATTAAGGTTTCCCAGCTGCTTCTGACAATGGCATTCTTTGTTTGAACACTTGGTCGTCTCTGGCAGCAGCTATGGCTGCCATCAGCACAAACAATGCGTCCACTGCTATCACTGCTGTTATCCCAGCAAGATAGGAAGGAGACTCCCACTCCTGCAGTATTTATAGGATTTTTTCAAGTTTCCTCACTCTTTCAGATTCCTGGATCTGTGTATTCTAACTATAAGGGATGCGGTATTGTATACCAATCATTAGATCAAGGCGTATACCACACGCTAGCCTATATAAATATATAGCACATAAATTACAAGGTTTGATTCTCCTTCTAGAACCTTAGCTGAGCCTTCAACAGCCTGTTCTATTATTCTATAAGGCATTCTGTAAGCCCTTAGACAGTGGTGTCAGTGTAGGCAATGTGGGCAGAGAAGGCAAATCCATATCTAGAGACGATAACCGTTCTGCTAAGGAAGAATCACTGCTCCCTTCAGGATAGAAGGGATCCAAGTAATTGACCTGACACCAAGTAGCTTGCTGGTCTCCCTGAATAATGGTGCTGTATGGAGGGCTGTTGGCATGTTGGGCACTTAGCTGTGGCAGATGCTAGGCCAGCTTTAGTAAAGGGAAGCCTACCCGCTGGCAGTATTTCCTTCACCATTGTCCTTCAGAGCCACTGCTGAGTAAGGCTACAATGGGACAACAATCCGTTTCCACATAGTGTCAATGTATTGAGCTGACCCATCTGTGAATCAGGCCAGAAACCTTTCCTCCTCTGTTAGTTAATAGCAGAAGACCCCCCTCGCCAACATAAAGCCACATAGGTGTTGGTTGAAAGAGGGCAGTGGTACAGCAGAAACAGGTGACACCTGTTTGGACCATCTACACTTCATTCATGCCTACTGGACCTGCTTGAGCCCAGTCCTAAGTGTACAACTTCCATCACACAATAGATTGATGCTGCTCATACCCAACCTTACAAATCAGTATGTCAGATAACATCCAATTTATTATGAGGAGCTCATATTCATAGTCACTTGGTGCCTGTGGTGGACACATCCTAAGGTGACCCGCAATGAGTCCACCCTTATATAATTCCTTCCCCTTGAGTGTAAGCAGAGCCTGTGACTTGCTTCTAGCCAACATAAATATGGTAAAGGCGACAGGATAATCACTGCAGTGATTGTGTTACATTATATAAGACTCCATCTTGGCAGACTGGAGTGAGAGCTTCTGCTGGCCTTTAAGAACTAGACTGGCCTTCCTTCCTGCTTCGCCTGCACGTTTCGTGACACGGGGCTGAGCCTCCAGTCCGCCAGCACCACCTGAGGGTCCCGGAAGCCGCCCCCGCCATGGAAGAGGACCAGGAGCTGGAGAGAAAAAGATCTGGATTGAAGACCTCGATGGCTGAAGGCGAGAGGAAGACAGCCCTGGAAATGGTCCAGGCAGCTGGAACAGATAGACACTGTGTGACATTTGTATTGCACGAGGAGGACCATACCCTAGGAAATTCTCTTCGTTACATGATCATGAAGAACCAGGAAGTGGAATTTTGTGGTTATACTACAACCCATCCTTCAGAGAGCAAAATTAATTTGCGCATTCAGACTCGAGGTACTCTTCCAGCTGTTGAGCCATTTCAGAGAGGCCTGAATGAGCTCATGAATGTCTGCCAGCATGTGCTTGACAAGTTTCAGGCCAGCATAAAGGAATATAAGGATCAAAAAGCAAGCAGAAATAAATCCACATTCTAGTCACTTATGCATGCTACAGGGAAGACTATCCTCTAGGATATTCTCTTCGTGATCTTGCAAAACCCACAAGTAGAAGTTTGTGATTAAATCATGATCTGTCCTTCTGAAAGGTGTGCTTCTAGGTATTGACCCATTGCCGCTGTTGGAATCCCTGCAAGAACCTTTGTATTGTTCTAATAAATTCCCTCTTTTATTTAAAAAAAAAAAAAAAGAACTAAACCGCGTGGTGACTATAGTTAATACAGCATTGTGACTATAGTTAATAATGCGGTATTGTATACTTGAAAGTTGTTGAGAGTAGATCTTAAGCATTCTCACCAAAAAAAAAAAAAGAAAAAGTTAACTACGTTAACTATGTGAGGTGATGGATGTGTTAATTATTTTTATCTTGGTAATCATTCTACAATGTAAATGTGTATCAAAAAAAGAACTAAACTGTGATATTGTAAGAGGACCACGTGGCAAGGAATCGCAGGTGATCTCTGGGACTAAGAGAGGTCGCTGGTCAACAACCAGCAAGAAAACAAGGACCTCAGTCCTACAGCTGAAAGGAACTGAATTCTGCCAACAACCGTGTGAACTTGAAAGGAATGCAGCCAGGCCAATACCTTGATTGCAACCTTGTGAGACCCTGAGCAGAGGACTCAGCTAAGCCAAGACCAGACTCCTGACCCACGGAAACTATCAGATAATAAATGAGTGGTGTTTTAAGCAGCTAAATTTGTGACAATATTGTAACTCAGCAATAGATAACTAATACAGTGCCCCATGATCAGGCACTCAGTCTCTACTAGCACATAAGATGATGTTTTTAAAAGAACAGTTCTCTGTCACCAAGGGCATGGCCTTGCTCCAGAACCTTAGAGATCTGTACTGTGACTTTCCTAGGGGTTTGCCAGAGACTCAATCTAGCACCATTGGATCTGACACATCATATGACCCAGGAGGCAAATCAGCTTGTAATGTGGTCTAGACCTGTTGCAGAGCCTTCTCTTGCCCTGGGCCTCACTTGACACTGGCAGCCTTCTAGGTTACCCAAGCGAGTCAGAACAGTATTCCTATGTGTTGTGTCCAAAATCCCAAAAGATCTACCAGTGCTGTGCCACTTTCTTAGCAGTAGGAAGTGCAAAGTAAGTATTTTGTCCTTTACCTTATAGAGGATGTTTTGCCCCAGACCCTCAAACCTGTAGAAATTCACAATGTAAATATATTCATCAATAAAGTGGCCTAGTGTGATATTCTGCAGAGGATGAAGATGCTTAAGCTTCCTACATACAATATTGCTATAGAAAGAATGAGAGTTAAAATAGTCCTGAGGTAAGACAGTGAGCTTGTCCTTGCCATATAAAGGTGAACTGCTAGTTAATTTTTTATTGACATATAATTTACATACAAAAAATATATAGAGGCCTTACTTTTGACAGTTGTATATACCCACGTAATCACCGCTGAAAACAAGATATGCAACATTTCCATTACCCCAGAAAGTTCCCTCCTGGCTTTTCCAGTTAATTTCCTGACCCCCACCCAGAGGCAACCACTTTCTGATTTCTTTTTCCATAGATTTGTATTGTCTGTTCCTGGAAATCATTTACATGAAATCATGCAGTATGTATTTTTGTGTGTATCTGGCTTCTTGCATACAAATAATGTTTATAAAATTGTGAACTACTTTCAATTCTCTCTATTAATGAGCATAAAAAATTTCTGGAGCAGGGTGTGTACTTCCGTCTAAGCTGTGCTGAGATACGATTCTGATTACTGACCTGGAGATAATGAGGATGGTGGGGTTCATCTTGAGAAAAAATGTCATCTTGCAAGGGAGCTGCTTCAGGTGAAATCATGACATGGTCTCCATAAAAAGGGAAGTTATTCTCCTCTGGCAAGGGAAAAGAGGCTGCTTCTGCCAGCAAGAAAAGTTCAGGGAGATTGGAGTGTTCATGATACTTGGATTCATCCACCCAAGTAACCATCCCAGTTCTCCATGTTCCACTCTTTCCCTATCTGATTTTGAAAAAATGGACCTGACTAGGTTGTACATTTAGTCTTTTTTGCATTTCTACAATCCTTACTATTAGATCCTGAGCCTGATATTTAGTACAGTCCGTCCTGCAGCTGCAGGAGATAAGGATCTCCTTTAAATCTGCCATAGAGGCAGAGTTTCTACCGCAGTCAAAAGCAACCATTCTACTCCAAGATCCTTGCAAATAACATTGTTGGTATTTCGATTAAGTGCGAAGACCACTTGACCTCCCCATACCTTGCCCTACACCTCCATATCATATCAATGAAACACCATAGACCATAGGTGAGAGCTCAAGTAATTGCAATGCCGCTCCATGTCAAGCGTTATTTCCATACACTTACCACCAGCAATAGGGTCCCTATCGCTTTTAGACAGGTGAACAATCCAACTCCAAAACCCCATCCTGTTAGTGTGTTTTCTAGAACCGCTTCTAATATCAACTGTCTTAGCCAGGGTCTTCTAAGACAGAGCCTGAGTAAGGAATTCAAGTATTAACCATTTGGGAGTTGTGCAAGCCTAAGGCAACAAGGCTGAGGAAAAAAGGTACGTGAGGCAAGGAAAGATGTAAACCAATATGATACAGTGCATTACCTCACTGGCCATTACTTATGAAACTGCAGGTCACTTTCCAGGCATGTTTGCTCAGAATGGTTGAAAGGAAAACATGCACACACATTTCATAGTTGTAGATAAAGGGAAATAGTAGGAGAAATTTATCTGCCTGGCTCCCTCATTTCTCCTCATTTCCACTAGTCAAGTTTCCTACCCTAGAGTACTGACTCCCCTCACTTCCAGGTTGCATCATTTGGTCCCTTGGCAGCTTCTCACAAAGCCAGATCCCATACCCATGATATGGCATTTTACCCAAGTATGGAAGTGGAGTGATAAGTTGGCACTCATAGGCTCAGTGAATAGAACACAAGGGTCATGCAGGTGCGGGGCTTCAACTTAGGCTACCACGTAGCTCTGAAAACTCAGGAAGGATGCCAAAAAAATGAAATGGCAGCAGCACAATTCGGAAAGTGGGAAGCGTCTTACAAAAGAATCTGAGAAGGCACACAAGTTTGTGTCCAATAAAGGTTAGTCTAAGTAAGACAAAAGGATAGTTTGGACTAGGGTAATGACAGTGGGGATGGAACACAGCGGACAGATTTAGGATACATTTTTGAAGATAGGGACAACAGAACTTTCTAATGCACTGGATGTGAGAGGTCAGGGAAAGTGAGGATTCATGGATGACCCCTACATATTTTAATTGAGTGACTGGATAGAACCCGGTATCATTTCTGAGATATGGGATTTGGGGGACAAATAGATTTGGCAGGGAGGGGATCAATATTTAGTGTAACACTGTCCAACTATTTTGGTCAAAAACATTTTGTGTTTGTGGTTTATTTTTTAAGACTGGTTCATTAGACCTAATAACCACATCCCTTGACAATTCCATTCCATAATTCAGCCAAAGGCTAGTCCTACACATGGATAGGACCGGTTACCACTTGCATGATGTATCTGGCAATACATGGAATAGCCTGCCCCAAAAGATCTCCCCCACCTATTGGCCAGCTGCCCGTAATCTGTGTTCTGATTATCCAGTGCTGTGTAACAAACCACTCCAAACTTAGTGGCTTAAAACAACAACATTTATACTGGCCACAACATGGGCAAAGTTTGGCAAGGTGGGCTGATCTTTGCTTCATATGCTGTCAGCTGGGGTGGCTCAACTGCGAGCTAGAGGATCTACATCTAAAATGGCTCACTCACACTGTCTGGAAAGTTGGTGCTGGCTATCAGCTGAGATCTCAGCCAGGACTCAGGGCCAGGAGCTTCAGTTCCTCTCCACAGGGGCCTCTCCATGGGCTGCTTGGCCTTCCTCACAGCATGTGGCGGGGTTCCAAGAGTGAACATCCCCAGAGACAGGAAGTGGAGGCTGCCAGTTTCTTGAGGCATAGGCTCAGAAACTGGAACAGTGCCACTTCTGCCATATTCTATTGGTCAAGCATTCACAGAACCCAGATTCAAGGGAAGGGAACTAGACATCACCTCTCAATGGGAGGAGTGTCAAAAATTTGGTGGCCATGTTTTAAAATGGCACAGCTTAGAAACCATAACCTGTCACTAGTTAATGGTGCCTTTGGTTTCATGGTGGTGGAGGAGAGGACACAAATCATTAAGTGTCTGCTTATATGATTTTATCAGGAGAACTCTTGACACTCCTCAGGTCCCTGAGAGAATGAGAGACAAGAAGGAGAGAATAATATAGATAATAATATAGCTACCACTTGATAAATAAACAAAAAGCATAGGATATATTGAGTATATGAGGAAGCCATTTGGTTTAAACCCAATTTGGCCTGACCTTGTTTTTCCAAAAGGGCCTGACGTGCCCTGTTGAGCATGCATTGTACATCTGCTTTAAACATTTACAATGTCTCAAAGGCATGAATGATGCCCTTGAAGATAGGGATTTATCTTCCCCCATATCAACATTTCCTTAAGGATAAGCATCTCTTCCTAGAAACTAGGGATTAATTACCGACCTGCTCTGTTCACCTTGTGACCACTGATCTGCTGTGCCAGCAAAGCAATCTCATGACTATTGTAAGATGGACATTCCTATCATATGTGATGTATGCTTTTTGCTCCAAGACAGTATACAACCATTCTGTACACCCTACTTCTTTGGTGCCCTTCCTTCCTTGGGGAAGGAAGGCCCTGGGCTATAGTCCTGAGACCTGGCTCATAATAAACTCATCTCAACTTTGATTTATATATCGATTATGGATTATCTGCATTGACACACTTTTTGAGCACTTACCATGTGCCAGACATTGTTCTGAGTGTTTTACAAGCATCAGCTCATTGAATCCTCCCAACAATTCCATGAGGTAACAATATTATTACCACTATTTTACAAATGAGGAAATTGAGGCTTAGAGGGGTTAAATGATTTGCCCAAAGTTATACAGCAAGAAAGTAGTTAAGCTGGGAAAGTAGTTGAGCCCAGGTCTGTCTAACTCCAGAGCCCACACTTAAAACCATTATACCATATTGGAAAAGGTAGAGATGGGCTTGTCAAAGACAGAGGGGCTGCCAGGCCACAGACCTGAGCAGGGCCCAAGGGTTCATCCAGCCTTCATCGGTAGCGGCCTTATAGGAAGAAGTATGTGTAAAACATCAGAGCAGTTGGGATTTCCCACCACAGAAGATTCCTGGTGTGGGGACTCATGAAAGGAAACAAATAATCATTGTCGACTACTTTTTATTTGTCAGGCATTATGCTAAGTGCTTTATGTGCAGTAATTTCATATAATTCTCTGAACAATCATGTGGTATTATTTTTACTACCATTTTGCAGCTGAGGAAACAGAGAAATTAAGTAACTTACTCAAGGTCACACAGGTGGTAAGTGACCATGCTGGGATTCTAGCTCAGATCTGTCTCCAAATCCATACTCTTAATCATTACAAATGAAATCTTGGCGTCTGTATATAGTGGGGTAGCCCCAGGGTTGGGACTTCTGTGTAGAGCACTAGGGAAAAGATTGCTGAAAAAGCTGGGAGAAGAGGCAGGATACTCTGAGTCCACCTAGCCCATCATATTACTCTTAACCAGGCATCACCTCTAGCTGGTTGCCTCCCTTTGTGCCTACTTCCTTTTATCCAAGGTCTCATTAATAGCCAACAATATTGACTCTACAGGGCACAAGATAGTCTGAGCAAATCTATCTCCAATTATTCCCCTCTTTATATCCAGTTAATTAATAGCTAGCTATTGAAGAGAGATTAAAATAATTGATTTCCTGATGACATTGAACAATTAAGTTCTTAGCTTTCTTCACAAGACTAATCACTACTTAAGTGGAGATTAATAGAGATGGATCCCCTCTCCATCTAATTCCCATTTTGCAACCAACTACCCATTGCAGGCTTCTGACTCTCCCAAGATACTTTCCTGGAAACAAGTTTAAATCTTGGCTCAGTCAAGTAAATATTTCCAAGCAATTAACCCATTGTTAATCATAAAATAACTACTTGTCCAGAAAAGGAGGGAGGGGTGGTAACAGAAGGGGGCCTAGATCTCAGGATGCCAGTTGGGTCACTTAAATGCTACTTGGAATCATGCCCAAAGAGATTAGGTTCAAGTCTACCTAGCTTCCTCCCCTGCAGATTTCTAAATCCTGGTAGCCTAGTCCCTTGGCCTTCAGCTGTAACCTCTCTCTAGTTTGGGGCAACAAAAAGTCTCTAGTCTTGAGAGCTATAAAGACCTAAGACTAGAAGCCCATCACTCTAAGGCCAGTAATGGAGTCCTAACCTAGGTTTCCAGACTGGTATCCTAGTGTTAACTTTGGATCTCCATCTTACTAACACTTTGGGCATCTCCCATCCAAGCTTACCTGGAGTTCAATATGCTTCTATACAAACGCTTTCTTCCAAAATGGCTCTCCTACCCAGCCTGTCCAGCTTTCATTGGCCATCTAGACATCAGTCCATGAGCTAATTGTCCTAGAGGCACATCCTGGAAGAGTTCACAGCAACTCTGTCTTTCCTAGTCCTAGTTATCATAGGAGCTGAGGGAGGAAGCTATCACTTTCTGGCTGATGGCATCAGCCTATTAAGTAGTTGGCAAAGACTGACTCTGTAGACACAAAGACCCACCCCTCCAGTAACAACCCTAGAGGCATTGTCTGTACACAGTACTTCTGTGGGAGCATCTCATCATTGTCTGCAGGGACTTGGATGACCTAGACCTTGCCTCTAAAAGTCTAAGGTACCCAGGTAGGGGAACAGGCAGAACTGCTATTCTTTATTTCCTCTGTTGGCCCCTTCAAAATGTCTGGTTCTGGGTCCAGACCTGGAGCTCTGAAGAGCAGCAGGTTTCATCTTGGCCTACTTCTCTTCACACAGCCTGTGACCTGTAGCAATAGCAGCAGCACAGCCCACCCTATCTGGACTCATTGTGTCTGATAGCTCCACGTCTTCTCTCTTGAGTAAACTCTCAAGACTGGAAGTTTAGGGATTGTTTCCCCAAGGGCCTAAAATTGTGCCATTGGCCTGGGTCTTCTCAAAGCAAGTATACTCTCTCTCAGAGACAGAAAAAAACCCCAGCAAATTCCAGTTTTGCCCCAGTTTTACTCCACTGTTTTCAAGGCCTGAATAGTAATGGTAAAGGGGGAAGTATCCACATTCCCTCATCTCCAGCCTGCTGGATGATTCTGGAGGATGGAGTACATATTTGAAATGAAGAAGTTCCAGTGGATAGGAGAATACTTGCAACTTTGTCCATACATATACCAAAGGACAGCCTTTCAAATACAAGTCAGCTAATTGTGACTGCTTTACAGCTGACTTTGCCAGCCTGGCTGCCTCATTGACCTACTTCCTGTAAAAGAGAAGGTTTACCTACACTCTAGCCATGGACAAGGCATTCGGGATTCTAATGGTCTTTTGCAAAACCTGGAGGCAGGCAGTAAGGCAGTGGTCCTTTGTCCTGGGCCCTAAGCAAAAGGGGTCCTCAAATACAGGCTACTGTACAGATAAATATAGGTAAGGGAATTAGATGAGGCCTCATCGTAAATATTGATATTAACTAAAATCCTACAAGCCCTGGTACTAATTAAACCTGAGAACAGATAAAAGGGTGAAGGACCTCAAGATCTGAAAGTTCTGGGGCCTTAATACAGTAACAACAACATCTGATCATTACTGAGTGCTTTCTGTGTGTAAGGCATGAAATATGTATTATCTCATTTAGGCCTCACAACTATCTTCAAGTAAGTACTAGAGCTGGATTGTCTGAGAGTGGGGGGCTCCAAGAGTAGGAGGAGAGGAGAGGACTCTGAGGGTAGAAAAGAGAAGGGCTAGATGCACTGAGCCTGGGTACATAAGGTGCAGGAGGCAGGTTCTGAGAGGGTCTGGGATATGCACCCTACTCAAAACCTGGAGGTGGTGGTAGAAATTCTGCTTGGGGAAGTATTTCCCTCCAGGCTTAGTTGTCCTCTCTATCTTAACTCTCGTCAACATTCTTGGTGACTTTGGCTGCTTCTATCAGAGGCTAATCCCTTCTAGATTCCATCTGCTCTTGCCTCTGCAGGGACTTAGGTCCTTCAGTTGTCTCCTCTTGTAAGCGAACATAAGTGAGGCCATCTTGTTACACTAAATGACTCCAGCCCCTCCTCTGTGTGACTACTCACTGCTCTGCACGTACTCTAAAAAATTCACATGCTCTCCTGATTTATGGCCTCCACTTATGTATATACTCCGCAGTAGCTTGGTGAATTAAAAACTTTGTTGAGTTTCTCTCCAGGAACAGGCTGACCACAGGCAGGAAACACACTTACAAGTTATCCATTACAGCTGACAGAAGAATGGAACAATGTGATGCCTGGAGTGCATCATGCCTGGAGACCAACATCCTTGGACTCCCCCCTTACTGCCCATTTTCCCTATATAACTGCCTCAAGATTCTGTAATCTTCGAAGATGATTTTCTGAGACATTAGTCTACCATCTTGCCGGTTATGCTGGCTAATCAAATTAAAACTTCGTTTCTCAATCCCTAACTCGTTGTGATTAATTGGCTCTGATCGCAGCGAGCAGAGTGAGCCCATTGCTTGGTAACACTCTGGGTAACATTTCATCCTCGCTTTTGGTCTTTCACCAATTTCCTTCATCTGATGGAACTTTTAAAAAATATTTATGGACAAAACTATGGAGTCAATGAAAAGATCAGTGCTTGCCAGGAGGGGGGAAGAGATGACTAGGTAGAGCACAGGGCATTTTTAGGGCAGTGAAAATATTCTGTATGATACTATAATGGTAGATACATAAAATAATGCATTTGTCAAAATGCACAGAACTATGCAACATAAAGAGTGAGCCCTAATGTAAACTATGGACTTTAGTTAATAATATATATCAATATTGGTTCATCAACTGTAACAAATGTACCAGACTAATGCAAGATGTTAATAATAGGGGAAACTGTGGAAGAGGGGGAGAGGGGATATATGGGAATTTTCTGCACTTTCCACTCAATTTTTCTGGAAACCTCAAACTGCTCTAAAAAATAAAGTCTATTTAAAAAATTACTTATGTCCATTGCATTTCCCATTAAAAGGATCCATGGCTCCCTGGAGAAATGGCTGATTCCAGGTCTGGGGCATGAAATGTTCAAGATGAGCCTGGGGCATCTTGCCATACCAGAAAGCAAGGATACTATCAAAGACTACTGAGGATATGTGAAAAGGACTCAGGAACCAACTTTAAGGGGCTTATACTGGCCAAAGATTGTCAATATGAGCATTAAAAAAATGACTGTGGTAAATTGAAACATATCAAATAGATAAAATTCTATGGGTTCATTATGATACTCAAGAAAAAAACTCATTGATCATCATTGGAAGTTTCTAGAGCAACAACTCATTACACCAAAAATTAATAAAGATACAGAATTAAGCATTGGGGCCAGCCCGTGGCCTAGTGGTTAAGTTCAGCATGCTCTACTTCAGCAGCCCCGGTTCAGTTCCCGGTATGGACCTACACCACTCATCAGTGGCCATGCTGTGGTGGTGACCATATAAAATAGAGGAAGATTGGCACAGATGTTAGCTCAGGGCGAATCTTCTTCAAGCAAAAAGAAGAAGATTGGCAATAGATGTTAGCTCAGGGCTAATCTTCCTCAGCAAAAAAAAAAAAGAATTAAGCATTGATTCTGCATTTCCTGGTCAAACTGTATTTCAAGGTCACTAAATAGTTGATAAGGAAAGTACTTTATTATAGAGAATTCCACTAATCAACACAAAAGGAATGATAGGATTATAAAATCACCATTTGCAAATACTAATGAAATAATGGATTTGGGCAAAGATCATCAATGAATGCTAAACCTATTACTTGCAAGTTTAACAAAGATCAGGCCAACCACACCTCATCACCAAATAAATCTCATTACTAAAAGTGAAACAACTAGACATGATGTGCCTCCTGATTGATGCAATAGAATGTACATAGCACCATCTACAAAGTATTTTTGCCAAAAGAACTCAACCTGAAACAAATCAATGCTATAGTCTAGATCTAAATACCAGTAATGGGAAATAAAAGAGATAGAGGAACAAGTTAAATGGTACTAGAAGGAGGTAATCAGCCAAATGCAGAAAGTGGGGCATTTTAAGAAACAAATGACCCAATTTTTCTAATAGGATGGTGTCTTAGTCAGTTCAGGCTGCTATAACAGAATACCATAGACTGGGTGGCTTATAAACAACAGAAATTTATTTCTTACAGTTCTGGAGGCTGGAAATCCAAGATCAGGGTGCCAGCATGGTTGAGTTCTTGATGAGGGCCTGCTCCCTGGTTGCAGACAGCCATCTTCTTGCTGTATCCTCACATGGTGGAAGGAATGACTCTCTGGTATCTCTTTTCTAAGGGCACTAATCCCATTCATGAAGGCTCCACCCTCATGACCTAATCACCTCCCAGAGGCCCGACCCCTAGTACCATCACATTGGGGGTTAGGATTTCAACATATGAATTTTGGTGGGGGTGGGGGGGATGGGACATAGACATTAAGCCCATAACACATGGGAAGAAAAGGAAGAGGGGAAACTGTTATAGACTAAAAAAGACTTAAGAAACACAGCCACAGAATGTAGCATGTGGCCTTTGTTTGGATCCTGACTTAAACTAACCATTTTTTGAGAAAAACAGGGAAATTCGAATATGGACTGAGTATTAGAAGATCATATTAATGAATTATAGCTAATTTTGTCAAAAGTGATAATGTCATTGTGATTATATAAAAAATGTCTTTATTAGTTTTTAAAAAGTCATTTAAATTATATATGTATTTATGTGTGCATGAACACACACATGTGTATTTGTGTGTTCATGCACATACACACATACACAAAAGTGTGTGTATGTATATATGTAACTTTTATATGTATTTATATGTTGTATATATATTTATGTATATACACATAACTTTTTAAAAAGATATTGATTCTAAGAGTGGAAAGGTTGGGTGTTGGTTGAAAGAGGAGCTATTTTTTTTGCTTAGCTTGGTTACTAGAGCACATTAGTGGTATAGCACAGAGACAGACACAGAAGCAACTTAAGACTTTGGTATTGGGTTGAAAGAAATGGGTGACACTTTAAAGCACTCTGCTCACAAATCCACTGATTGGAAAGCCCCCACAAAATTAGCTAGCCACTAAGGCTGCCAGCAACTTAAAAAGTCTTGTCTTACAGGCTGGAAATCAATAGAGCTTCTGATCCAAAAGCTTTCTTTCCAGAAGTTGGTATGGGAAATTTTCCAGGACTTCAAAATAGATTTGAAGTTCCAGAGGGCAGCCATAGTGTAATTCGGAAAGCTAGTGAAGCATCCACGGTGGTTTTATTTGAAGATTTTAACCTGTGAGTCATCTATCATAAGAGAGTCTCTATCATGCCCTAAGATGCCCTGTTAGTCTACTAGATATGTGAGAAAGAGCTTGAGTTAAGGTGGTTTTTATGGCGTTTAGTAGTAAATTATGCAAAATATTTTGTTTTTAACTTGTGAGTTTTTTTGCAAAGAAATGTTTATATGTTGCATTTCAGCTTAAGTCATCCCATCATTCACTCAAGATGAGTGTGAAAAATCACTACCCAGCTTCTGTGAAGTGAGCACTGTTGCTCAAGAGTGGCAAACTGCTAAGCTACGGAATGGATGGGTGATAGTTCTTGCTCCTCATGATGCATGTTTCTGTATATTAATGAGTTGTTGGGTAGCAATTACAATACTAGAACTGATTAAACATGTAGAGGGCCTTTTTGCAATAATATTGTTTGTGACTGGATCCAAGTATTTAATAATTGAGGCTGTTAAAAATAAATGAACCTGAACCTGAGTAAGCATCTAGATCCAATTACTAATTTATAGGAAATACAGAGGACAGAGGAACATGTTAAATAACACTATGAGAAAGCTTTCAGCAAAATTCAGCCTGTGGAAAACTCTACTGGACAAACAACCCAGTTTTTTCAACAAATAGTGAAGAATAAAAAGATACGAGAGGAACCTGTAAATTAAAAGAAGTGTAAGAGACTTATCAACCAATTACAGTGTATGGACCTTATTTGCATCCTGATTCAAACAAGCAAACAAAAAAATATGACATTTATGAGACAACTGGCAATTTATACATGAATGAATACTTGATTATATTAAAGACATGACTTTAGATGTAATATGAATATTGTATGTTTTTAAACTCTTTTTCTTTTAGAGACATACATAGAGAGTCATAGTTACAGATGAAATTATACAATATCTTTCATTTGACTCAAAATAATACAGGAATGGATCTGCTCTCACTACTCCTATTCAACATTGTATTGGTGGTACTAAATTAAAGAGAATCTAAATAAATGGAGAGATACACCATGTTAGTGGGCTGAAAAACTCAATTTGTTAACATGTCAATTCTCTCCAAATTGACTTACACTTTCAACATAATTCCAATCAAAATCCCAGCAGGATATTTTGCAGAGGTCAAAAGGCTAATCCAAAAACTTATGCGAAAAAGCACAAGAAATAGAAAAGCCAAAACAATTTTGAAAAAGAAAAAAGTTGTAGGACTCATGCTACATGCTTTCAAGACTTTCTATAAAGCAACAGTAATCAAGAGAAGTGTCAGGATAGACATACAGATCAATGGAACAGAATAGAATCCAGAAATAGACCCACACATATGTAGTCAATTGATTTTTGACAAAAGTGCAGAGGCAATCCAATGAAGAAAGCATAGTCTTTTCAACAAATTATGTTGGATCAATTGGACAGCCATATGCAAAAACAAAAAAAAAAATGGTGACCTAAACCTCACACATTATATAAAATTAAATCAAAATGAATCATAGAAAACATGAGAGAAAATCTTCTTGATCTGGAGTTCAGTAAAGAGTTCTTAGACATGACATCAAAAGCAAGAGTCATAAAAGAAAAAACTGAATTAATTAGACCATCAAAATTTTAAACTCTGCTCTTAGAAAGACACTGTCAAGAAAATGAAAACATAACCCATAGACTGGGAGAAAATATTTGCAAACCACATATCTAATAAAAGATTTGTATGATGGACAGATATATAGATATCTCAAACTCAACACTAAGAAAATCCAATTAAAAAGTGGGCAAAAGACATGAACAGACATTTCACCAAAGAAGATAAACAGATGGTGTATTAGTTTTCAGAGCTGCCATAACCAAGTACCACAAACTTGGTGGCTTAAATAACAGAAATTTATTCTCTCACAGTTTTTGAGGCCAGGAGTCCGAAATCAAGTGTCTGCAGGTCCACGCTTTCTCTGAAGGTTCTAGGGGAGGATACTTCCTTGCCTCTTCCCAGCTTCTGATGGTTGCTGGCAATCCTTGGCATACCTTGGCTTGTGGCAGCATAACTCCAGTCTCTGACTTCATCTTTACATGGTTGTCTTCCCTCTGTGTATGTATGTGTCCAAATTTCTCTCTTCTTATAAAGACACCAGCCATTGGATTAGAGCCCACCCTAATCCAGTATGACCTTATCCTAACTTGATTACATCTGCAAAGACTCTATTTCCAAGTAAGGTCACATTCACAGGTTCCAGGTGGACATGAATTTTGGGGAGACACTACTCAACCCAGTACAGATGGCAAATAAGCACATGAAAAGATACTCAACGTAATGAGTTATTAAGGAAATACAATAAAAACCACACACCTAATAGAATGGCTACAATAAAAATAATAATAAACTCTGACAATATCAAATGTTTATAAGGACAAAAATTTCTTATAAAGTTAAACATACACCTGTCATATGACCCAGAAATCCCACTTCTAGATATTTACCCAAAAGAAATTAAAATTTATGTTTCCACAAAAACCTGTACACAAATGTTCATATCAGCTTTATTCATAATAGCCAAATTTGGTAACAATCCAAAAGTCCTTCATTGGGTGAATGCACAAACTGTGGTACATCCATACCATTGAATACTACTTACTACAAAGGGGCATAAAGGAACATTTTGGGGTGATGCAAATGTTCTATATCTTGATCACGATAATGGTTATACAACTGTATGAGTTTTTCAAGAGTCATAGAAGTTTACACTAAAAGAAGGTAAATTATACCTCAATAAACCTAACTTTAAAAAAGACTAGAACTATTGGAATATATATATATATAGCCAAGTTGATATAGACTGAATGTTTGTGTCCCCCTAAAATTCATAATTCATATGTTGAAACCTAATTCCCAATGTGATGGTATGGTGGAGGTGGGGCCTTTGGGAGGTAACTATATCATGAGGGTGGAGCCCTCATGAATGGGATTAGTGCCCTTATAAAAGAGACCCCAGAGAGTTTCCTTGCCCCTTCTGCCATGTGAGGCCATCTATGAACTAGGAAGCGGGGTCTCACCAGACACGGAATCTACCGGGGCCTTAATCTTGGACTCCCCAGCCTCCAGAACTATGAGGAACAAATGCTTGTTGTTTAAGCCACCCAATCTACGGCATTTTTGTTACAGTAGCCCAAATGGACTAAGATACAAGTACAGGGGGATTAGTGTGGATATAGATGTTACAATATTGGCCATGGGTTAATAAATATTTAAGGTGAGTGATGGGAACATGGAGGTTCTTAAATATTGTTCTGTCTACTTTTGTATCATAGTGAAAAATCTAAAATATACCTACCAAAAAAAAATGGGGTCTGAGGAATCTGGCTATACACCTTTGTGATAGAATATGGGCTTTTCCATAGGTGAAATTTACAGTTTCCTTAGATAGATGATTAGATAGACAGACAGACAGACAGACAGATAGATAGATAGATAGATA